TGTTCCTGGAATTGCTTCATGAGATTTTAAGCTCTTCAGTTTTCTGTGAAGTCGGTAAATGAGCCACTGGTGGCTTTAAGAGGTTTGCTTTCCCCCTTCTCTGCAGACAGCTCAGGTTGTGGTTGCATTCCTCCCCCTTTGCCTTCCCCTCCAAATCTCATCTTGCATTTTAGGTAAATTGCTCCTGAGCTGGAAGGACCGCAGTGTTCAGGCAGGTAAAGCATTTCTGAAACAGAGGCAAGGACCGAGCCGGTTTGGAGCCGGGGAGCGGGATCAGCACGTAACCCTGCGATTTCTCGGGGCGCTGGCGTGGGGAGAGCCTTTGGGAGTGCCACCGGTTCCGCCACGCGCTCGCAAAAATCGTCAGGGTAATTAGCGTGAAGTCTGAGCCGTCCCAGCTGAGCGCGGCGGCTCCTCTGAACCGCGGGGTTTTCTAGGAGCAGCGACGTCTAGGGCTGACATCTCGGAGGCATCCAGCTCCATGCCAAGGCGCATGTCCTGACACCGCTGCCGTGGGTGGTGCAGTTAATGATTTCAGGACGGGGGTGAGGCTGGTGGAAAACACGTCTGACGTGGGCTCGGCTCCGCTGGTTCCTCCCAGCACTGAGGGAAAGCTGAAAAATGAACTAAGGAGAAAAAAAAAACCCAACACTATGAAGTGAACCTCAATGGTAAATAAGTGCCAAAGAACCGAGATGGACACGTTGTGGTATGAGGACGTACTTGCTATCTGCCAGCGTGCAGCCCAAACCATCCCATGGCTGAATACAAACAGCCTTCTGCACTCACAGCAGCAGCTTATTAGTGGTGATATATCAGTGTCCTGGCGCGGGTTTTTCTCCTGTCAACAGCAGCCGCTTATCAAGCAGATATTGCACTGTATTTCTGGGGAAATAGTCTAAAATTGATGTTTGTAAGCCATTGCTGGTCTTACAAGGAGCTGCTGTAAGTGAGCATCTGTTGCACTGAGCGTAGGTGTGGGGCAGAAAAGGGTTAGGTTCAGTCTTCTTTATAAGGGTAGGTTCGGTCTTATTTATAAGACTGGAAAACATAAATTCTGGAAGGGTTTTAAATCTTGGTGCCCAGGGAGTGAGATGCTGGTCATCTCTGGTGGTACCTTCTTTACTCTAGCCAGACATTTAGCACAATGATTTAAACCCCTGTGGCATCTCCAAGCCCTCCAATAGTAAATATAAGGAAAAATAGATCAGTGCTTAAAAGGCGGAAAAAAAATACCTGTATATACGTTTGTCTTCCATCCAGTAATTTTGGATCTAAACTGTCAGGAATTTGTATGTTAAATGTAAGATTAAAGACTGAGTCTTGTTTAAAGCAGAATGTTTTTTAGGTGTTTAAACCTTAAGGATAATGGAAATAAAAGGTCAGGTTCTTAGCCGGTATGAGAAGATTCAGCTTTAGGGTTTTCAAAGACACAGTGCGCATTTGCACCTGAAAAAAGCTTTGGGCCAAGCCAAATCCCACGTGAAAAAGGAATTAGGAGGAAAGGCTGAGCCAGAAACCGCTCCTGGGCTTGTGGAGTGGGTCCCCTTTGCCATCACTGCAGCGAGCCGCAGCAGAAAACGCTCACAAAGAATGTCCTGAAGTACCACATACGCGCTGCTTTCGTGGCGAAGACCCAGCAGAGTTGTTGTGCTGTCAAGCCCTGATGATTAAATTACTTTTTCCATCCCATCTTCCTCGCGTTCGGCTTATTAACTTGACATTTCATCTCAATTATTTGCTCTTCTTCACGCCCTCCTGGTGTCGCTTGTCATTCACTCTTTATTCGGGCAAGCCTGGCTGGCCGGAGGACTGCGTGCACCGGGGCAGGCGTGTTTACTGTGGTTGTTGTAGGCATAGGTAACCCTTCAGGTACCTCCACGCCTGCTGATCTGACCCTTGCTTGGCCTGCAAGAAGGTTGTTCCTCTTAAATTGTTGTCAGCGGGGCAGAAAACCTTCCTGGGGGTTTTCCTTTTGACTTCACCTGGGGTTGAGCGTCTCCAGGGCTTCTCTAAAGGTTGCAACCCTCGATGTGCAAGCATGAGCTACTTACTCCTTGGGATTTTCTCCTGCTCTTCCAAGAAGGGTAGGGAGCCCTGTCCCCCATGCCCAGCACGGGTGGGGGGCCCAGGGCATGGCCGCAGACCTTCGCTTTCTCATCCTCTGCTTCCGTCTGGGTCTTCTGCTCAATAACACACCAAAACAACTTGGTCACAGCAAAAACTCAAGTGTCTGTTGGAAGTAATGAAGAAAAATCACAGTCAGGTAGCAGTGCGCTTCCCGCCGCGGTCGGGGATGAGGAAACGACACGAGCTGTGTTTTAAATAACCAAATGTGTCAGAGGCGCACAGGTAAATGATGAAAAGCAGAAAAAACCCACGGCTCTGCTAAACTTTATGGTTGCCATGCTTCATCTTAATTTTAGTGAAGGTGTTTGGAGGTGAGTAATGAACTCTCCTGGAGCCTGGGAACGGCAGTGAAGAGCGGAGATGAAGTACCCTGCCCCACAACGCAACGGTCTGCTCTTTTTTTCAAATAAAAAATTATTTTTTTTCTCTCCGGCTGAAGATGAATATGGCCTGAAGATCCAAAACAACTTTGAAAAGCTGGTAAGAGCACTTCCCAGCACATGCGTCAAACGTTTGCTCATCCCTCCGTGCTGCGGTAATGAAACTTGTAATGCGTAGCTTGAAACACCTCGCTTTAATCCCAGTTTAAATACAATTTGTAAAGTGTTTGTAAAAATCTGTGAGATCTCCTAAGCCACTCCTTGTTTTCAAGAAAGCGTGTTGAAGTCTTTTGTGTGCATTTGAAAACATAATCGCCTCCTGAAGCTGTTTTCATGGTAGCACCATCATCCAGAAATGTTATCGTGGGGTTACGCACGCGAAGAGCAGGATCGGTCTGTGCGGTGCCGGCCAGTGGGTCTGTGCAAGCCTCTGCTCTCCTGCCAATGGATTTCCGCACTTTTATGGGTTTAATATATGTTGCAGACCCGTGCAAATCTTATCTGCCAAATCTTATCTACCCAAATCTTATCTGCCACAAATTTTGGGTGGCACACAGCAATACTTGAGGAATGGGGGGAATCTTTTGAGGATAAGTTGATACAAAATGCTCCCACATGTTCAGTGCCCCTAAGTGATGCTTGGTTTTAGTTCACTGAGAACGTGGCACCTGTAACCGGTGAGACTTGCTGCTGTGACGCAAAACAAATTCAGTAAGAACAGAAGAAACCTTAGCTTTATATGCACTGCGTGCGCGAGATGGTCTGAGTTTGTTTAATGGCCTTATGGGTGCTTTAGTTTTCCTTTTATGCTTCTGGTTGGTCAACTTGGGTTTTCTGCACTTGGCTAAATGCAGAGTGTGCTCCCTGCTTGCTCCCAAGCCGGGTCCTCGGGAGGACTGGGCTCCTACAAGGCAGAGCGTCTGTGCTGTTCTTGGAAAGGTCTTCTCTTCCTCTGTCCCCTTGTGGCATCTCAGGAGGATCAAGAATCTGTAGGTCTTTATGGAGGATCTCAGTTCTTCACGTCCGTGCTCATCAGCTTCCTTCTCTTCTGACATCTGGTAGCCGATGCTCTAGCCAGGTCAGGACATGGGTCCTCAAGTTAGGTGACCTGTTTGTGGCCTTTCGCAGGAGATGGAGCTTTCTGAGCACCCATCTCCCCTTTCTCCTGTTCCACAGCCCATCCCTACCCCCACCATCATCCCTTTCCTTAGTACCACTCTTCTTTGAAGATCCTAAGTCCTCAGAGGCATCCTAGGCTTCCTACCTGACAGCTCAATTCTGTCGATGCAGGGGCTTCACCCATAATTTGAAAATCAGCTGTTTCAAATTCAACAGTTCAAAAATGTAAGCATGCTAATTAAATCGTCTGTTGTGATTCCTCTTCTCCTGCCTTGCAATTGTTTCTCGATCGAAAATGGAAGGCTTATCTAGGGTAACTCCTCTTGCTACGAACTGTTTGCATGATTTATAGCTTGAGATCTCAATTGTTCCTTCAAAAATGAAACATAACCATGGTGGCCCAGAGAAAATGTGTTAAAAATAAATATTTACCGACAATGTTCTCAATTTCCTTAATAGCTGGAACTCATAACTGGTCATGCTTTTGTTATAGATATGAGCATTACAAGGGATTTAAGTAGTTTCTCTCTGCACGGCAGCCTCGGCCGCGGCCTCCTCCCCATAGACCCCCTGTTTAATTGCCACGAATTAGGGGTGGCTCAGGAGGAGGCAAGTGTTGATAACCGTGTTCCCCATGGTACAGGCAGGCGCAGGATGCGTCTGGGTGCCTGAGATCATTCCCCACCACCCCGCCCTGGGGAGCAATCCTATCCATGTAGACATAACTGACTTCTTCAGCTACCTCCTTGCCTTGATATTTCCTTCTCCTTGGTCGCTGTTGGCTTCAGGAAGGCGCCACATGGTGGTGGAAGTGGGCTGAAGAGCATCAACGTGCTAGAGACACCGTTGGCACAATGGCGTGGCCCCAGCTCCCCGGTAGCCAAGGCTAAACCGTGAACTATGAGCCTCTGCTGTTGGAAAGGGATTTTGAAATTCCTATCTTCTAACGTAGATAGACTGGTCTAGTTGTAGGCTGGAGTTTGGAATTGTCATCGCACTCTTTTGACGTATCAACAAGGTTACTTCAGGCCATCTTATGTAGGATTTTGAATAAAATATGGTATGTTGTCTTGCCCACGTTAGGATGCGATAATGAGAGATGCTTAGAGTTCTAAACATCCCGAGGTTTTCCTGGATTTGAGCTGCTCCCAGGCGCTCTGCACCTGACAAGGTCTAACCCTGCTAGTAGCAACGGGGAGTCCTAAAAGGTGATTCCCTTGAAAGACGGTGGTTGCGAGATTGAGCACTACGTGAAGGTCCCGGAGCACATGGGAGATGTTAAAGAGGCTGGACTGGCGAGTCCTGGTCTAAAGAAGTTCCTCTTTCATTTTGTGCTCGATGGCCTCGATAAATCTCCCTTTTCTCTTGCAGGGGAAGGTGGCGCAGACGGCGTGCATGTCGGCGTGCAAGCACCTCTCCACCTCGCTGATGCAGCTGCTGCTGGAAGCTGAAGTGCGGCAGCTGACGCTGGGCGCCTTGCAGCAGTTCAACCTGGACGTGGAAGAGTGTGAACGTAAGATGCAAAATCATCTCGTTTTCCATGTCTCGCTTTGCCCGTTTGTATGTCGGGACCCAAGCCAGGGCTTTTAGTGGTGCCAAGTATTTGGGACTGGTGAACGCCTGCCGAGCTCGCTGGGGCTGTCCAGGCCAACGCTTGGCAATATCTTCAGGACAGAAGCAGCCCAGCAAATTCTAAGAGATCAAAGCTTTACTCTTCCTTTTTCTCTTTAATGCCGCCTTGATGCTTTCCAGACCATCCCTGCTTTTTGAGATGGAGTATTTCAAAACTAGGAGGGCTTAGAGTGGGTAAAACATGAGGAAGGCTAACAAGAATCAGTTTACTTATGACTGTTTCTGAAAGCAATAACTGGCTTATGTTCTTAAGAAGTTCTGGTCCTCTCCTGACCTCAGCTGTTTGTCTTCTCTATCTGCTGCGGGGAGTTTTTTCTCAAAGCGAACCCTTTTTGCAAAGTCACTGTTAGGGAAAAGAAATGTCTTGTGACAAAATAACTACCTCTGTTCAGAGGTTTGCGTGGAGCATCGCGGTGCCAGCACCATGGCTTTGCTCTCAACCCGGCTCATTTTAGTTCATCTAGCTTACACCTGAATCCGCTCTGAAAGCCAAAGGTTCCCCTTAAGTTGCTTGCTATCCTGTTCAACCGAAGGGTTAAAAAAATATAGCACAAAACTGACAAAATGCTTTTTTTCTTCCTATTTTTATAATTATGCTCAAGCAGGGCGAACACACTTCTGCACAGGGACCTCTCTCCCTTACGAGGGGGATGGATTTATTATCGGGATTAATGTTGGGATGGATCAGTGACCGTGGCTATGGACAAGAGCTTGATAGGGTTGATAAAGTGTTCAGGAAATCTTTGATAAAGTATTTTGGGGAAGTTATTTTCCAAATACCCACCTTTTTTGGCTTTCTCAGTCGATGTGGAGATTGGGATGTATCTTGTTTAGAACCTGTTTACTACAGAGTCTTCTGAGATGCACTTTGGCGCGACGTGGCTCCCATTGAACCCCACAGCAAAATAGTCCTGGCCCCAGTGCTAATGGTATCGGAGCCTACATAGCAGTGAGTTTGCTTTTCCTACCTCTGGTACTCAGTGAAATCAGTTGTGGTGTTTTCGTCAGCGTCTGGCACTTAACGCTATCAAAAGGTATTCTTCTACCCTTTATAAAACATTTTGCTGATAGTGTTTTAGTTCAGCTGCACCCATCAATAGCAAGATTAAATTTATTTCTGAGAAAGATCACCCAGTAAGATTTCTGGTGTTTGGGGGGAGCACTTTTTATTTTTTAATGTCCTTTTGGTAATTCCCAGCACTCAGCTGAGTAGCCTGGGAGAAGGATCCCCGTTTAATGAATCATATCCAAAATTTGCAGCTATATCATATGTCGTAATGCAAGCAATGCCTTATTTTTCTTTCAGAAATGCCTTCAGCCCTAAATTCTTGCTGTCTAATTTGCGTCCCATCAGCGCGTCGGGGCTGCACCGGTAGCAGCTGTGTTCCCAGTCGGTGTCCGCAGAGGGACAGGCGATGTTGCCGAGAATAATAGGAAGCATTTGTCATTCATAATAGTTTCCTTCTTTTTCTTTTGGCTGCAAACTCGTAACCCTGCTGCTTTCCGCCCCATCAGTAACGTGGGTCACTAAGCAGCAGCTCTTCCCTGAAAGCCCTCGATGCTAAGTAAAACGGATGACATTTAATATCGGGTTTAAGAGCACGATTCCTTAAATTCCAATTGTTTTGCGAGACAAAACCAGGAGCACTCAGACATTCAAGAGCAGGTGACGCCAACCTGGGCAGCGGGGCCGGTGACCCGCTCCCCCCAGCCCCGGCCCGAGATGCCGGCTCACGCTGGGAATGGAGACGGATGCCGGTGCTGTAACCTTCCTATCCATCACTGTCAGCCCCCAGAACGGTCAACCCAGACAAAGTCTTTTTCTTCCTTTTCGGTAGCAAAAATGCGTTCCCTCGTTCCTGCGGGTTTGTCTGGGGGCTTTGCTGACACCGGGGATAATTTTAGTTCTATTTCTGAGAAGCAGTGCATCAAGATTTTAATTTTAAGAAAAGCCAGTCCTGAGAGTGAACGGGTATATTCAGAAAATACGTTTCAATTTGCAAAGGTTTTGTTTGTTTGTTGGGTTTTTTTTATCTTTTACCTGAAAGCATGGGTGCGAATCTCAGCATCCTTATTATACCAGTCGACTTTATGTCTCTGCCTCCAACCCTCCTCCTCTCCCCAGACCCCCAAGCCTTACCCAATTTAGCAGCTTTATCTTGTACTATCATATTAAAATGGGATTTTATGGCTGTTTGGAGTACTTCCAGTGAGTTCTCTGATGTGGGAACAGGGCTTTGGAGTTTCGATCCTGGAGTTTATTAGGCTTTTCTTTAAGCTTCTTGTGAATGACAAAGGTATAAGCTGGTTAAGAGAGCAGTGAGGCAAATTAATGAATGGACTTAGTCATATATTAAGCACGGTTTGAAGGTGGTGCAGGTAATTTGCCCTGTATCAGAGCAGATATAATGCACATTATGAGAAAATGTGTTTATATCCTCAATAGATAACAATCATAGAGGTGAAAAAGATGATGGCTTAGGCTTAAAACAAGACACCGGTAAATTAATTCTCCAGACTTGTGGGTTCATAAAATATTTCCTGCTTTATAAACAAATTGCTATCCCATCAGGAGAAAAAGGGAATGGCTGCAGGAACCATTGCATCAGGCTAAGGTTTGGCACCAGGCACACGCGAGCCCGGATGGTGCTCGGGAGAAGCACGAGGCCATGACGGGGCCCCTCGCCTGCACCGTGAATTCCCCCCTCCATAGAAACCTGCTTGTTTTGCGTGTTCAAAGCACTGAATATACAGTTTATTAATTTTATGACCTTCAAAAAGAAAGCCTTTGGAGGGCTGGGGAGAAGCAGTAAATTAAATAAACGTTAAGAGCCAAATCTTGCATGTCTGAGTCGTATGAATAGTCCCGTATACATCAGCAGCATTTTTGGTGTGAGAGAGGCAAGAAAGAGTGGAGCTGCAAGGTTGTAAAAATCCTATTCGGTTGCCTGTGATGGGAAAAATGCGAGCTATTTTCCTGTGGCATTGTGCCCCCGGTGAGGCCGCGGTGCTGGAGCCTCCGGCCGGACCAAGCCCTCGAGGAGCCGTAAGGCACCGCTCCTGCGCGTCGAGGTGGACGGCCTCTTTTTTTCCCAGCAAAAAGCTGTTTCCCAGGTGGCGTGTTGGAGGTTTGAAAGTCTTTCGGTGCAGATTTACAGCGATGTGTGTGTGTGTGGATGGCACGGCTGATGCCCAGGGAAGGGCAAAAGTCATTTTTCAAATGTCTGTTGCTGGCCAGGTATTCGTTGTAACTCTTGTTCTTCTTGCTTGGCTTTACATAGCTCCTTTTTTATGCAGTCAAGAGAGATTCTCTCACCTCCTTTTTAAACCTGAAGTGAAATAAGGCATAGAGGTTAAATGAATTGCCCAGAAAGACACAGTAGGACATGTCTAATTATGTCTCAATTTAGGAGGGAGTTCTGGCTGCAGCCCAACGAGCCAACTTGAAAAGAGGAAAAAAACCAACTCTGGAGAAGGGGGAAAAAAAAAAACCTAACACAAATATTTCTGTGAACCTGTAAATAGAGGAGGTGATGCTTTTTTCAGAATAGGCATTTGCTTTTTAAAACGGGTTTGCTGTCTTCCAGAATACGTCCGTAACCCAAGATTTGACAGTACATGCAGTGTGCTTTTTGTAATTGCTGCGTGCCTTGTAGCCCAGTTCCCTGCTCTGCTCTTTTTTGGACCTCCTGGTGCTGGTATATGTGTATTTTTCCATATCTCCTGTACCTCGGAGGTAATGGGAATCAAATATAACAACCCAAATTTGGAGATTGCGACCGAAAAAGCAGAAAGAAAAGGGGCTGCTCTCCTACAAAAGTGTTTCCCATCTACGTAACCGGTTCCAGCAGTGGTTGAGGCAGATTGTTTTTACAATACTTAGATCATAAAATAAGCAGTTCCATAATCTCTAAAGTCTTTTAACTGCTGCTTTATGAGAAATTAAAAGCGCCGTAAAAATTATATTTAAAATTTCATTAAAATCCCAATTTTTGTTCAGCCCACTCCTGGGGGCAGTCAATAAGAAACACAGATGTCTCCACCGGTTTGAGGAATCCTCCAGCCCAACACCCGAGCATGCCAAAATATGCCGATACAGGTCCCGGCGCAGCCGTTCACCGCCTTCTTCTTGGCCGCGTTATCTGGCTCCGAGGACTTTCTGACGGGGAAATCCCGTTATTTGTGTAAGACGCCGGGGTTTGCACCACACCGGAGGAGTCTTCTCCCTCGAGCGGTTTGCACCATGCAAACGGCAGCCTGGTGTTCCTCCAGCCTGCAGCCCATCGGGGATTAGCATGTGCGGAGCTAGAGGGGAGCACGGTGGTTTTGAGGAAAAACTCTCTGATTTTAGGTTATCGCACTGTGTGCTTGCTGGTATCCATCCTGCCGCAATGCACCAGCAAAAGCTCATATTTTGGGGGAGAAAAGGGGATGTTGCAATGAACAGAGGGAAAGGTTTGAGCGGATCGCATCAGGAGAGAAATCTCCACGCCACTGATGCTGATCTCTCACTGCCCCTCGAATGCTGTGCTCAGCGCTGGGCCCCTCACCCCAAGGCGGCCATGGAGGGGCTGGAGCGTGGCCAGAGCAGGGCAGCGAGGCTGGGGCAGGGGCTGGAGCCCAAGGCTGGGGAGGAGCGGCTGGGGGAGCTGGGGGGGCTCAGCCTGGAGAAGAGGAGGCTGAGGGGAGCCCTCATCGCTCTCGGCAACTGCCTGAAAGGAGGCTGGAGCCGGGGGGGTCGGTCTCTTCTCCCCAGGAACAAGCGATGGGACGAGAGGGAACGGCCTCAAGCTGCGCCAGGGCAGGGTTAGGTTGGGTATTGGGAAAAACTTCTTCACTGAAAGGGTGGTCAAGCATTGGAACAGGCTGCCCAGGGCAGGG